TCAGTGTTAGCAATCAAGTTTGTGTGTGTGTGTGTATACTCACATATAGCGCAGGTGTGGGTTCTTGGAGAAAACGCGAGCCTGGATCGTATGTAAAATACTCCTCATAATGGTTCTACCACACACACACACACACACACACACACACACACACACACACACACACACACACACACACACACAAAGAAGAGAGAAAGCACTTTGAATAACTTTCAGCTCTGTTACTCTGACAAACAGACAGTTACAAATGAATGAACGAATGAGCAGATAACAACTTAGCAACTCGAGCCGATTTATAGTTGGATCAAAATCAGGTCAACTACACAACAAATGTGAAAATTAGTGAAAGTATATTATTATTATAACTTATTATCCCATTTCTGACAGTGAGTTTCTTGCTTGAAACAGCTCCAATGAATGGATTCTTTTCCATTTTCCACTCACATCCTAGGCCATCTGACCTCAGGAATTCGCATGATAAGGTGGGGCCAGGTTTCACAATGAGCTCACCCAAAACTCTGGCTGACTGGGACCCACACCCATTTTCACACCTTGGCTCAGGCAATTAGAGGATCATCAGGGGGTCTTTTTGTCCCTCTTTGGGGGGACACTCCCACTAGGTTTAAATCTGGGACTCTCCACCATTTGACCTTAGAACGTCTTCAAGCAACTTAAAGAAGTCCAGACGCTTTTCTTTGCAAGCTCCTTTGACATTTTTGCCCGTAGTACATCTGTATATTTGCTCTCTGCTTAACTTATATATATGTCATGTGAAAGGGTATGAAGAGAGCTGTACAACAATCAACATTTAGCATATACCTGTAATATATATACCTGTAGCAAAAGATTTCAGCCAATTCTGGTCCACTTTAAATCCGGGGGGAAAAGTAGGCTGTGTGAGTTAATAAGCAGCACTGCCCAACCATTGAGGCAGCAGTAAATCTGACTATTTTTAAAGGTCAATTACACTGGCCAACAACTAGCACATTTTGCTACTCAGACTCTTTCACCTGTACTGTAACAAATGTTATTTACAACATTTAAAGAAATAAATTTGGTCTCAAGAAAAGTGAGGCCAAAATTAAGAAAGGTGTTGTTGCTGGTTCTAAAAATCCATGATCTGATATTTAATGATGAGATAAAAAGGAAACTCAAGTCAGCTGAATGAGTGGCATGGGAAGCATTCATACAGGTTGTCCAGAATTTACAGTTTTTTCTGATGGCTTGAGCACATTTTTTGTAACTATTGGCTATTTTTGCAAAACTCTACACACAAATAAGAAAACTCTTCACCCAATCAGCAAAACATTGTAGTTTTCTTGTAAAAGCGAATAACCCTTGCTTAACTCTCCACACCTTTGTAAAAATGGTATTTTCGTATCCAACAGTTAACACAAGCCATCATATTAATAAGCACACAATGCACCAACTACACACTGATGGTATGAATAAAAAACACATCTGGCTTTTGCTTTCTCTGTGCACAAGGTAGGCTATGTCAGTTTGAGCTCATACTTTTGTCATAGATCCGTAAACATAGACGGATCCAAACTTCAAGTACTGGTGTTTATTCACACACATCAAAACAAACACAAGTGTTTATTTCCAAGTATAGGATTATTTGCAATCGCCATGTTGACGATTGCAAATAATCGTCAACATGGCGATATTGACGATTATTTGCGTTTGTCAGAAAAAAGCCAAAGAAAGAAACAACAAAAGCAACATTTTACAACTTCAACCTAAAGCGCTCTATCTATGCAAGATAGCATGGGTGCTGTGTAGGAGTAAAGTCAGCTTCAGTCCACATTTCTACTAAGTACAGCGACCTTGAGTGTTTTGAAAGGCGCTTTCAAATAAAATGTATTATTATTATTATTATTATTATTATTATTACATGGGTTTCTTGGTCTGCAGCGAACATGCTTCCTCTGCCCCAGCATCTGGTCGTCTAGCAATTCTGTAAAGTAACAATTTCAGTATCTTTACATCTATGGTATTGTTGTGTTTCTCATTGGCATATGGCAGTGCTACAAATCTTAGTGCAAAGTGACTGTACTAACCGATTCTCATTTCAAAATGTCCTTATGATGCCTGCTACAGTGTACCGGCTCGAGTTAGGCTGAACCCGTTGGCCAGCTTCCCTCAGGGTCATTCCACGGTTGATTACATGGTCCACTATTGTAGCTCTAATGTCATTAGCAATTCTATTTCTTACTCTTCTTACCCTTCCTCTCCCCCCTCCTCGTCCTCCTCTTGCTCCTCCTTGTCCTTGTCGTCCTCTTCATCCTACTTCTTCACCTCCACGTCCTCTTCCTCGGCCTCCTCCACTTCTCACTCTTCCTGCTCCCTCCATTGTACTCCACACACAGAGCTTACCTGTATTATAGTGCTTGGGCTGATTGCAAAGTGAACTAATTATCTAAAAAAGTTTTCACATGTGACAGTGTGCCAGACAGTTGGCAAAATAGTGTAAATAATGGCCGTAAATGTGTATAGTTTTGCTAGGAGTGCGTTGATCATTTGGAAATTGAGTGTAAAGCAGTGAGTTGTGTTTACAGTTGTGCAAAAAGAGTGCTGTGCAGTGGATTGTAGCTACAAGTTTGCAAAGTGTGTGTTACAAAATGGCAAACTGAGTGCAAAGCAGTGTTTGTGCTTTTAGTTTTGCAAACTCAGTGAGTGGTTTTGCGATAAGTATTAATAGTTTTAGAAATTGTGCTATAAGAATCACAGTTAGGATTTAAGCATTCAGACAAAACTGTAATGTCAATCAGAGCACACAATTATGATGAGCTTTGGATAACATGAAAGCACATCAGCTAATGAGTGACAGAATGTCAGTGAAGATGCACTTTTTGAAATCACAGTTTGACTTTCTAAGGCAAAGATTTCATCAAGATACAAAAGTGATCGAAAGTAACTGATTTTGGGGGTTTTTGGAGGTCTTTGCTATTCCACAGTGTTAGAAGCCACTAAATAATAAACTAAACAGATTTACAACAATTTGCTCACCAAGAACATGCTGAAAATCATTTAATAGGAAATTATATATCAGCACAGTATTATGTATGTCTGTGAAATAAAACTATAATAGAGGCTATTTAGTGTTTTCTATGAGAAACATTAATGGAAATGGTTGTAGAGTAATAGCCTCTGGAGAAGCAGCCTATTCATTGATGTCCTCTGTGATGGACATTTGTTTTCGTTCTCTATCGTTTGACTTATTTGAGCTACCCTACTAAGTCTTGATGTACTAAAAAGAGTACAACCTGGGCTTTCCATTGATTTCTCATGTGTTTGTGTGGCCTCTATTAGATCCAAAGAGAAAGGAAATCACAACAAAAATTCAATGGAAAGATTCTTTTTTCCACGGTTCTGAGGAGGAAAGTCCAAACGATAGTGAGCCTTTCTAATATTTCCCTAGAAGTGCCTCTTAATCCTTAACCAAACTCTTAATACATGTTAAGATACACACTGATTTTAGACAGCAGTATGTCATTTTGAACTCAGAAGCATACAGAAGGTATGGCAGCTGGGATGAAACAAATCTCATCTATAACTTGCATCTTGTTGTGGAGACAACAAATGTTTAGCATAACAAGAAGAGAAAAGAAAGAAATGGAGGATGATAAAAGAAAAAAATCAACTGGTCAGAGATGCACAGAAAGAACAGAGCAGCTGTGTCTCTTGTTTGGAAGTTTTATGGTTCATTAAAAAACAAGTATGATTTGAATACCAGTATACCCCAGTGGGTTGAGCAGCCGACCCAAATGCTGAACAGCTACTGCAGATCTGAGTCCCCATGCCAGGACATTCCCTGCGGATCATTTCACTTGCTCCCTGTCCATCCTTTCCTGTCTGCACTATTGTCCTGCCAAAAAATAAATGAAAATTTAAGGCCAAAAATGAATCTTTAAAAAACTGTAACTATAGTAACCTATTGCTAGTAAATCGTAATGATTTAACAAAGTGAAGAAAAATTCAATGTGGAGGCCAGTGAAAAGCTGCTCTGTTGTTTGTTTTAAGGCACAGTAAAGCCACATTTTAGGTGTGGCCAAGTGACAAAGGGTTTTTGGTTTGGTGGCCTCAGGATCACCAACAGTGAAGCAAAATGACTGTACAAAAGATGGACGACCTGGCTCCACTTCCTCCCACTATGCAAAATTGAAGCCGATATGTACTGCTTCAGGGGACTGTCATCTTATATAAGCTCAAAGATATAAAATGATCACTTTTTATCCTAGTACAGCATCAAGTCAGTCAAACTTCTGGGATGTTGATCTGGTAAGTTAATTGGCAGAAGGGGGTGTTGATTGGTTTCAGCTTCTTTGGTATAAATTAAATTAAAGGTGCACTAGAGGAGAAACAATAAGACAACCGTCGAGCCTGACTGGCATTTGCCATAGAGTACCAGAATTGGCGGGTCCACTACTGGCACCCTGTGCTTTTCACAGATGAGAACAGGTTCACCCTGAGCACATGTGACAGATGTGAAAGGGTCTCGAAAAGCTGCGGTTAACATTATGCTGCCTGTAACATTGTTCAGCATGACCGGTTTGGTGGTGGGTCAGCAACGGTCTGGGAAGACATATCCATGGAGGGACACACAGACCTCTACAGGCTAGGCGATGGCACCCTGACTGCCATTAGGTATGAGGATGAACTCCCTGGACCCTCTGTCAGAACCGACACTGCTGCAGCGTCGCAGTGCAGTGAGTCAAAATCACTCAAATCCTCATGCTTGCCCATTTTTCCTGTTCTTAACACATCAACTTTGAGCGCAAAATGTTAATTTGCTCTCTCACAGGATGTCAACAGTTCTACAAAAATTTGGATTTGGTTCATTCTTCATATATTGGATCAAAACACTAAGCAGTTCTCCAAATGCACGTGACCTTACTTCCCAAAGCTTCAATCTAAAGAGGGACACCAGACAGCGCTGTCTGCTTTCAACCTCAGTTTTAGTCATTTTCATCAAACTACTGTTATGGAAAAATTCTAGTTTATCCTCACATTTAGAGTTATATGTTTAGAATCTTACTGTATGATTTGTGTATAAACCTTTGCCTGCTTAAGATGAAGCAAGTGTGTGTCAGTATGACCTCGCAAAGAACTGCTTAGCTAGGCCTAACGATATTGTGGAAGGACGAAACTCCCAAGATGGGAGTTGCTCTCTGCCCAGCAACAGTCCGTGGGACAGAAACCTGTTGTAACTAAAAAGATGCAGAGAGTTGTGTATGGAGGGGTATGAAAGAGGAGCTGAGACATCCCAAGGGCAGAGCTGGCATGACTGTGAACTGTGTTGTTTGATGTGTGTGTTGGCTCGCCTGCGCAGTAATAAATAGCTTGATCACAGCTCTTTCCATGTTGCAGACTTTATTTACAAAATTCCACGACACTACTAGCAGCAGCAATCCGACAAAATGTAGATATAAATAGATACAGACCACAAGATAAGCCTGTATGCTGATGATGCATTACTGTTTCTTGGGAACTCACAAACCTCTCTTCTGAAGACAATCACACTCATAGATAAGTTCTCATCCATATCAGACTACTCCATTAACTGGAGTAAATCAACAGTTCTGCCTCTGAACTGTAAATTTCAGAAGACTTCCATCACTACACTACAGTCTGGTAACATCAGGTATTTAGGTATAAATTTCTCTCGGTATGATTGAACCATATCCCTCTAGTAGAAATGGTAGAAGATAATCTCACGTTTTGGAAAACTTTACCTATAGCACTCAATGATCAGTCGTCACAATTAAAATGATGGTTCTGCCTAAAATAAACTACTTGTTCTCACTGATCCCTAACAAACCATTTACTGCCTGGTTTAAGACACTGGACTCAAACATCTCAAGTTTGAAAACTCTACAAAAGCCAAAACACAATGGTGGTTTAAAACTACCAAATTCTTATTATTATTTCTTATCCAATAGATTGCTTATATGCTTCAAAATGCATCAAATCAAGCTCGCTAGACAGCCCATGGCTGGACCTAGGACAAGCACTCTGTGGAAAAGTAAAAATCTCTAATCTG